GCACTCCTTTAATCCCAACACTCAGGAGGCAGGGGCAAGTGGATCTCTCTATAAGTAATTTAACCTGTTCTGCATAGTGAGACCCTGTCTCAAAAAGAAAAAAAAGAATAAGAACAAATGGAAACTGGCAAAATTGGCAGAATGGCTGTTAGGGCCCAGCTAGAAGGTGACAGGGAAACACCCCGAAGCCCAGAATGGGAGTCAGAGCATCTAGGCAGCATCTACCCAGCAGTGGTTCCTGCCTTCCCAGGAAACCTGCAGTCCCCATATGCACACTCAGGACAGCCAGCAAGCTTGGGCCTGTATGAACAAGACAGTGAGGACAGCATCGGCCTTCTCTACAGTGGAGGAACCACCCTCTGCTCTGCCTCTGGTTCTGCCTCCCTTTGGAACCAAGAGCTTGGTCTCCAGGGAAGGGCCAACCCAGAAGCCTTCTCTCCATCAGCAGAGGGTGCTAAGGAAATAAAGAATAAGAAGCCAACCTTCATCTTGGTCTTAAAGCAAGCCCTCATCTTAGCATAGGACTCTCGGCTATTGAGGACAAGTTGTCTTGTAAAAAGAAATAAGATCTCACTGGCCAGTGGCTGATGCCCTCTCCCAGGCCTCAGCCACTGGGTGCCAGGTACTGCTGCCCCAGGCTTCCTGTTTATCATCCTCTGAATCTCTTAACAACCCTGTGACAAACTCCAGCTTACAAAGCGCCTGCCAAGCCCTGCAGGGATCTCCACTCAGGGCCAAAGAGGGCTGCCAGCTTTGAGGCCTCTCCTCCCCCCCCCCTCCCAACAGCAGTCTCTGATTCTCTGCTGACACAGAACTCCTTAAGGTCCCAGGGACACAAGAGCTGTTTCACTGAGCCTAGGGCCCACACCTTTAATCCAAGCACTTGGATTAAAGAAACAGAGGCAGGCTGATTTCTGTGAGTTCAAGGTCAATCTGGTCTACAAGAGCTAGTTCCAGAACAGGCCCCAAAGCTACAGAGAAACCCTGTCTCAAAAAAACTTAAAAAAAAAAAAATGTTGTTTCCCCTCTGCATACTCTGGTCAGTCCACTTCCCTGGACTGTTCTCTTCCTATCCCCAGAGTCACACTCATGCCCATCCTTCAAAACTCATCAACACCAATCAACTAGCATCTGTTAGCCTAGGTCTGGTTTTGCTAATAGTCCATATTTGGTCCTCAGTTTTCAACTGAGTAACACTTCAGCTGGTCTGAGTTGATAATTCTGCTCCCTGTGGTGAGGCAAGTATATTTTTAACTTGGGGAGATATGCAACAATAATTACGGTATAGATTGTGGTAGCATCGTGATATTGTGTTGTGCAGGCTCTAGAACGGCACTGTCCAAGAGGGCAACTATTAGCTATACCCACAGCTACTAAAATCAACTAGGAGTCAATGAAGTCACCAGTTTTACTGGCACACACCTGTAATCCAAACAGTTGGGAGGCGGAGGCAAAGGCAGGAGGATCAAAAGTTAATGACTAGTCTTAGTTACACATCAATCAAGGCCATTCTGAACTACACAAGCCCCCTTTTAAAAATGAATAAATAAATAAATAAATAAATAAATAAATAAATAAATAAAAAAAAAAGGTAAAGCCAACATTCTATTTCTCCAGTGCTACACCAGAAATGCTCAATCAGCACCAACAGCTGAGCTCTCTTTCACCCTGGGATGTACATGGAACAAGCGGTATAGGATAGCCTGCTTCAGAGTTCCCACAGGTACAGCAGAAGCTCACCCTATGAACCAGCAAAAGGAGTACTTCTCAAAGCAAAGTCTAGAGGAAGACCATTTACCACACTAGGAGAGCTGTCTGACATACAAATATAAATGAAAACAGCAGCCCAGCTCAGCCAGGGGAGAGAGATAAACTACTGAACAGATATAGTTCAGAAAAAGAAACTCTGCAAGGACAAATGCATCCACAAAGAAAACCTAATCGTGCTTAGACAGCTAAGAATCCACACATTTGACACACGGGGCTACAGGGACATTTTTAGACATTGCCTGACTTAGAAATGCATCCTCCTGTAAGCCTCAATCTTAGCCTGAAGAATCATCCTATGGATTGGAACTGAATCCATGTGAACAAAAAGACAGACACACACGATGCTTCATGGCAATGCTGCCTGTAATGAGCTAGAGGCTGAAAACACAGCACCCTAGAACTCGCTAGATAAACTCAGGGACACCATGTGTGGCTGCTACAAAAGAAATAAAGAGCATGGTGCAAGCAAGAGTCACCTGTGCAGTTAGAGAGGCTCCGAGACAGAGCACTCGGCAAAAGCAGTAAGTTCACAGTGCTGTACTGCGGCCTTCGAGGCACAGAGTGCTCTTCGAGGGCACAAAGAAACTGCAAGCTGCAGAGGTTGGGGAGCACACAGATGAGGTAGTCATTGTAAGTCAGACTGGCCTGGATCTCATTCTGTAGCCTAGAGGAGGCCTAGAACTGAATTTAACCTGCCTCAGTCTGCCAAGCACTGAGATTATGAGCACACACCATCACACTTGGCTCATTTTTTTTTTTTTAAACAAACGAACCTTGAACTTCCTATGTAGCCCCAGGTGAACCTCTTGTCTCATCTCCTCAGTGGTAGGGTTATAAGGATGGGACACCATGTCGAATTTATGTGGTACTGGAGGATTGAAGTCAAAGCCTTGTGCATTCTAGGCTAGACTCTACAAACTGAGCTACATCTCTAGCGGCTGACACTGGACTTTGTACTGACGTTTGGACCAGCGCCTTAAATGAGAGTGCTTATGTGCAGTGCAGCTGGCAAATCTCTAGGCTATGAACAGAGAAGAACTCCAGTTCCTCCCAGGACTGATATGTTCTCAGTCTGAAGATGTGGAGTGGGATCTTTAGATCAAGTATCCAGTTCTTCTCAGATCCAGTTGGGAAGACCACAAGTCAGACAGGTTCCAGGTAAAGAATTCTTTCAAAGTATCCCAAAGGATTCTGTCCACCAAACCTCTTGCCGTCACAGCAGGTCTGTCCATTCTCAGAGGACAGCCACACAGAGGTGCAGACTCACCTCTCGTCTGGAGAGTCTACATGGAAGGTCCTCTCGATGACCGTAGTCCACTGCAGGCAGCGTATGACAAAGGTGTTGGGTCGTGGCCTCTCAGTCTTCATCAGCTGGCATTCTGGAGGGTACAGGCAGGAAAGAGTGAGAGATGGTCCTGCTGCCTAAAGACCACATTCTCCAAGCCATCTTCTGTGTGCCAACTCCCATACCAGATGATGCTAGGGACTGAGACAGTCTAGTCCTGACCATGTCCTCTAGACAAGGATGTCACAGTCTTCACTTGCTCTTCAAGGGCACAAGAAATTGAGCTGTAGAAAGTTCTGCATAGATGAGGCAGAGGTGAGACTTTCCCCAAGCACCACCTCCCTTACAGTTTCTTTCTTGTTTCCACTGCATTGCTATAGTTCCAAGGATAAAACTCAGGGCCCAATGCACACCAGGCATAGGCTCTATCACTGAGCAAGGGCTCTAGCCTCCTTTATTCTTATGAAACAGGGTTTTACACTGAGTTATTCAGGCTGGCCTTGAACACACTCTGTTGTCCAGACAAAAACTGAGGTCCACCATGTTTTGAAGGCCAAACCACCAGCAACAACTCAGAAGTCACAGTTAGATAGGAAAAGACACAGAAGGTATCTAACCCAGTCTGGGCCCTAGGGAGGGCATTCCTGAGGCTAGAACATCTCTGAGTTGAGCCCAGAAGGCAAGGGGGACAAGTAAGTAGTGCACAGCAGGCCACAGAAGACAGAAGCCTCAAGTCTGGAGAGGTGGATTAAGCTGGGCAGGACTATGGAAAAAGTGAGGCAGGTTCCTCTTGCTAAAGGCCAGAGCCAGCAACAGAGAGTTAACGGGGAGAATGAGCTAGGGCAGAGTAGAGCAGGGCTAGGGAAAGAAGGGAATTGGGCTACAGGGCAGGGAGGGGCATCCAGAGCCAGCCTGAGATCTAGAGCAAAACAGATGAGATGGGGATGCAGACAGGGAGAAAGAGAAGGTGGTGGGCGGAAGAACAGGAAGGTCAGCCTGGGATAGGATGAGGATGGAGTTCTAGAGGCCACCCCCGAAAAAATTCTTAAGAAGCTGCTGGAGATGGGCTGGCAGCTCAAGTGAGAAGCTGGCACTACTAAAAGATGTGCCAGGAACATGGGCACAGGAAGAGCACGTCAGAAAAAGGCTTTCTACAGAAGGGGTGGGTGCTAGGCTGGGTTCCGGAATCCACAGGAGGGAGAGCTGGAGGGATAGGCAGAAGCTGCAGTGAGGCCCTCAAGGAGGAGGGAATCTGGGGTAACGGAGACAGGGTAATCGGTGAAACACTCTCAGCTGGTATGACAAGGACATGGTGTTAGGTCCATAGTGAAGGAAGGAGACAGGCGTACAATGGGGATCTTGGGCTTGTCAAGTTGGTCAAGCAAGAAAACACTAGGTTAGCTGGGCAGTGCATGCCTTTAAATTCCAACACTAGGGAGGCAGAGGCAGGCGGATTTGTTAGTCTGAGGCCAGGCTGGTCTACAGAGTGAGTTCCAGGACAGCCAAGGCTGTTACAGAGATACTCTGTCTCAATAAACCAAAAAAAAAAAAAAAAAGTACTAATCCAGTTAAGTATAATAAATAGTGCTTGATAATGACTATTACTGGTTTAGGGAAGCACATATTGCTTCAAAATGGGGACGTGCTCTTAGGATTGTGTCCACAGGTAGTTTCATTGATGTTAGAAAAAGCCACATCGAAACAACAAAGTGTGCTTACCCGGATGTACACAGGACAGCAAATATGCATCCTAGCTATGGACACGTACAGCATGCAACTGTACTGAATATTGTGGATGTAGTAACACAGTGGCAGTTCTCTGAAAACATCTATTCAGAAAGGAGGTACTGTAAAAATACTATATATAATTGTTTTCAAAGTTCATTATCTGCATAGGAACTGAGCTTGCAGGGTCCCCTGAAAGTTGTTTTGGGTGAGGCAGTGGATGTAGCTGGTGACTGCTGTCATCTTTCCGGATATTGCATATTTAGGCTACATTATATTTATATTAAAAAAAAAATTCCTTGCCAGGCAGTGGTTGTACACGTCTTTAATCCCAGCACTGGGGAGGCAGAGGCAGGCGGATATTAAGAGTTACGGGCCAGTCTGTTCTACAGAGTGAGTTCCAAGACAGCCAGGACTACACATAGAAACCCTGTTTTGAAAAACACAAAAAAGAAAATTCCAGGTTAGGTGCCACAGGGGGAACTGAGGACATACGGTGAGCCTTAGAGCAGCTCATCGGGACACTGGCACTTACTGGATGAGGGGGCAAAGAGGAGGGACAACTCTGTTTAAAGAGCAGACAGGACACCAGCTAGAACCACAGAGCCCGAAAGGTGGGCTGTGCAGAAACTTCATGACTTCTCACTGTCCCCAATGACAAGGGCAACAGCAGAAAAGGGTAGAAGTCAGATCTGAGGATGAACAGGCCTAAGACAGGTTCTGGCTCAAGCAAAACTGTTCAATGTGTCCCCAACACCTGCCAGCAAAGCTGTGAACTGTGGAACTCCAACTTTCCCTTGCCCTGAAACGCACCTGCTACAGAGAAATTGTTCAGGGGGGGTAAGGTCTGGTCAGGGGTCTCAGGTCTCTCCTTATACCCAATGAAAGAGCCATCACTCTTCAGAAGGAAGTACCGGGGTCTCCAAGTCTTGATGTATTCACCTGAAACAAGGCAGGAGGAGAAAAGGTCAGGGCAAGGTTAAGCAATGTCCCAGCGGGCAGGCAGCCCAGGATGACAGTGACTCATGGGGGCACCACACTGGGAGGAAGGTAGATGAGTCTCTCCCAGGGGAGCCTTGGAGGTGGCACCTGCTGACGCAGGCTGGGGCACTGGTCTGGGCCCAAGTGATCCACAGGTCATGCCAGGCAGGAAGGCGCCTGCAACAGTGTCCCAGGGCGCCACTGCCTTAGCACATATGGCAGTGGCAAGCTATCCTTGCCAGAAAAGACTGTCCTAAGGGATGTCCAGTCTCTAAACGCTCAAGCCCCATAGGCTATTTATTATCACAGCCATGCAGGAGATCAGATGTCAAACCACTGTCCCACCCTCCAAGTACCCTTGATCTTTTCAAGTTCCCTGCTTATGGGCACACACATATGCATAGCCAACACTCCCCAAGAACTCACTCCTTAAAAGGTTTCTGAAGGCTCCAAAGCTACAGAGAAACCCTGTCTGGAAAAATCAATCAAACAAACAAACAAACAAATAAATAAATTTCTGAAAGCTGGGCAGCGGTGGCATACACTTTTAAACCCAGTATTTGGGAGGCAGAGGCAGGAGGATGGCTGCGGTGTATTGGTTGTTAGCCAAAACCCAGCAAGGTCCAGGTTCTGTAAGAGATCCCGTCCTGAAGAAGTAAGATGGTGAGTGACAGAGCAGAGGACACCCAAAGACCTCTCTGCACACCTGCACATATATTCACTACACACACAAAACAGAAATAGGGCCAGCAAGATGGCTTGGTGGGTGCTGAGCACACAGTAAAGAGAACCAACTCCCACAGTTGTTTTCTGACCTACACACACCCCAGGGCACACATTTTGTGGGTTTTTTTTTTTAATTTTAGGTTTCTAATTTTTAAAATATTTTTACTTAATGTGTGGAAGTTTTGCCTATAGGGATGTATCTGCAACATGTGCATGCCTGGTGCTGCAGAGGTCAGAAGGTGCTGGATCTCTTGGAACTGGAGCTGCACACAGGTGTGGACCACCATGCAGGTGCTGGGAATCCAATCTGGGTCCTCTACAAAAGCAGACAGTGCTCTCAACAAGACAGCCACCTCCCCAGACCAATAGATGTTTTTTAAAAGTGGAAACTATCCAAATGCCCAGCAAAGGACCCATATGATGGGCTACTACTTGGTCAGAAAAAGATGATAGACTGCTGCTCCATCCTACAGAGCAGCTGCACTGTCACTTTTGCCTAAGGCAAAGAAGAGAATCAGTCACAAAGGACCACAAAAATGAGGGCCATTCTGACTTTGGGAAAGTGCAAGCATTCTGTAGAAAGTGTATTTTCCATTTTGAATATCAGCCTTTTCCCAGGCTGGCAGTATACAGCAGGACTCTCTCTCTCTCTCTCTCTCTCTCTCTCTCTCTCTCTCTCTCTCTCTCTCTCTCTCTCTCCCCCTCTCTCTCTCTC